CTCAGAAGGCCAAAATGGGGCCAGAACCTTAGTAAAATCAATGATTTTGGCTTGAAAGAAGAGGTGAGCTTTAATTAGCGCTGCCCCCTCAGAAGGCCAAAATGGGGCCAAAACCGTTGTAAAATCAATGATGTTGGCTTCAAAGAAGAGGGGAGCATTTTTCTGCCTCCCCCCGTCGGGGCCAGAATCCTTGTGAGGGGTGTCGTTTTTTTAGCCCTCCCAGGAGTCGAAAAAAGACCCCTCCAACCACCCGCGGGGCGCCCTCTCCAGGCCCAGGGGGAGGGGGGAGGGGGAGGGGTAAACCCCTCCCCGAAGGGGAAGAAGGGGGGTTGAGAACAGAGCGGGCTCTCTAAACCACTCACGCCCAAAGGGCTGGTGGGATTTTCGGCGCGTGCGGCGGGCTGTTTTTGCATTCGTTCCGGGTGGCACCCTGCGCGTCCTGTTAGGAGGAGAAGGAGGTGGAGGAGGAGGAGGAAGAAAAGGAGGGAGAGGAGGAGGTGGAGGAGGAGGAGGAGGAGGCGGACGACGACGACGACGACGATGAGGGCGAGGATGCGGACGAGGAAGATGAGGAGGAGGAACAGGAGGAGGAGGAGGAGGAGGAGGAGGAGGAGGAGGAGGGCGCCATCGACAGGGAAGGTGAGGGCCACGCGGTCCGCCGGCTCGACGCCCGCGTCGCCCGCGCCCGCCCCCTCACTCTTGTCCGCAATTGCGGGTTCCCTTTTGTTTAGTGTTTCGTCCAGAATCCGCCCGTAGGGGGACAGCACCCGACCTAAAGATGGGGGGGGGGAACGTGGGCCTCTCCGCGATTGCAATATATATATATATATATATATATATATATATATACATATATATATATATGTATATATATATATATATATATCTATATGTGTGTGCAGCGCGCTGTGGCACAGGGGACTCCACGCAGTATTGAGACAGAGCTCGTGGGGTGCAGACCCGCGGAAGCGGCGCCGCCTGCCCTTCGGCGGGCTCCGGGCCCCGAGCGTCCGCATGTCTTGAGAAAGAGAGAGAGAGAGAGAGAGAGCCCGCTGGGGGCATACCAAGGAAAAGGCCATAGGGACAACCGAGGCCACATCCTGGACCCCGCACCGCACGACCTCCCCGACTGCCCTGCGACCCCCCGCCCGAGGAGAGGACAAACTAGGTGCAAACGCGTCATATCTGACGTCCTACCCCTCCCTCCCACCCCTTTACCATGGCGTATATATCCTCCTTATTGGCGCAATCGCATGTCGAACAGGGCAATGATCCCAAGAAAGTACGCGATGCATGGTATAGCACGGCATAGCATGGCATCGCGTCGAGAACGTCATTCTTTTTTCGACAACAAGGTCCGAGGGAAACCAAACATAACACAGGACGGGAAATGCAAATGGACGTGTTGGACAGCGGGAAGCGCAAAATGAGATCAGCGCTGCAGCGGGAGCACAAATTCGAACGACCGAGACTGCGTAAATGAGACCTGCGCTGCGGTGGGAACGCGCTCTGGAAGGACTGGCAACGCGTAAACAAAGCTAGCGCTGCAGCAGGAGCACGATTTGGAATGATCGAAATCATGGCATGAGGTCAGCGCTGCAGCAGGAACATGCTCTGGAAGGGTTGAGGCAACGAAAACGGAGCCCGCGCTGCAGCGGGAGCGCCGTACTGAAAGGACTGGAAACGTCCGCATGGGAAAAACACATGAATTATCCGTTCGGCGGTATCCGGTGTAGTAAAAAACAAATCGCGGAGGAGGCCTGGACACCTCACCAGCGTCTTCGGGGGAGAGAGGAAGATAGTATTCATAGCGTGTCAGTGTCCAGGGGGGAAGACACCCAAAGCCACCACGTGTTCTCTTGTATTCGTGCCCTGTAAGAATGGATCCTGCATTTTTCGCGCGGCCCTGTCTCAAGGCCTTGCTTGCCTCGTCTGCGAGCTCACACCTCCACTCAACGTCTGCTCTACGACTGAATGCACAGAAGTTCAATGTGCCCCCCTCGGACGAGAGACGCATTCTGTGTGAAACGTCCCGCGTTCCTTAAAATCCACGCCCCCGGGTGTCTTGGACGTGCCGCTCCAGGAAGAGACGGCATGTGCAGGGTCTTTTTCGGAGATGCGGAGCCCAGACGTGCTGCCGCCCACCACTCTCTCCAGCACCCATGCTCCCAACGCCGAACTTGGCTGCGACGAGATTGCACGTGGGTCGTCCTCGCCCTGTCGCCGCTGCAACTCGGAGGGGCCCGCCGTGCGCCAGCGTCTCTCCCAGATGCTCACGGCGGCTCGACGAGCGCCTTCTCCGGGTTCGGCGTGCACCCGATGCTCCGTGCGGGGAGCGCCGCGTTCAGGACCTGGAGGCACGGGCTGCCGGAGCAAGAAAACAGCTGGCACGCCGCGAGGCATTCCTGGAGGCAGCAGCGTGTGCGGCATGGCGGATGCTCGCGCAAGCTCAGGAAAAAACAGTTGTCCACGTGTGCTGCGCCCCCCACGCTCAACCTAACACCTCCTCACCAATCAGCAGCCACGTCCTTTCCAACTGCGCGCGAAACCTTGCCACCTCCTCTCATGACCAGACCTGTGCATCTGCAACGCTACTACGGCTTGCGGTCTATATTTTTTTTCGCAGGCGCCGCCTTGCCCGTTGGAGGCCTAAATGTTGCGTCTCTTGGTGTCGCCAGCACGCCCTGTTGCCTTCCAAGCCGCGTTGTGATTGCCCGCCTGCCTGTCGAATCCGCCAATCATGGCTTACACGTGGCACCTTCTGGTGGACGAGCGAGCTGCATCGTTGGTCGTCGCGCGGCCTGGTGCTCGTTTGACGATTGGCGTCCAGGGGAAGTCCGAACGCTATGCCTGACTGACACTGGAATTTTCGACGAACGCTGCCATTTCTGCGGAGCCTTGCATTTCAGCTGCGAAGGAGCGAAAACGCCGACAGGATCAGTTCACACATTTGTGTTTCCACGATGTTGCCAGTCTGGTGCCCTTGTCCGCATCCGAACGTTGTCTTCGGCACCTGAACCATTGGCGACCTTGCTGCGACCGCCCCCCTTCCATTTCCGATGCCGCTAGCAGACACCTCACCAAGATACGCGCTTTTTTCAGTTGCGCCCTCGGCTTCGCACCCTACACTGACGATGGGGGCACCTCCAGCGCTGACGCCATCGAAAGGTTGTGCATTGCACGGGTGGGCGCGCCACGCCGTTGGCGCGCCGTGCCCGAAGCCTGCTGATCGGCCCGAAGCATGCGCAATTGTGCATCTTCGACCTGGCCATGACCGCAGACCTTCGCAAGGCTGCGTTTCCCATGTGCTTCCCGACATCCCCCGCTAATGGATCCAAAGACAGCGCGCACTTGAATCTTCTAGGTCGATTACTTTTGCAGCCCCTCGAACCCCGTGCCCAGCGCAATACGAACATTCACGACTGCATCCAGACCACGAACACAGCACATGGCAACAGCGGCCTTGCACGCCGATTGCGCTTCGCTGGAGGTGCCGAGAGTGTCCCGCGAGTGTGCGAGGCGCCAAGTCTTGTTGAGGTCGCGATTGTCTCTCTCCGCCTCCATCGCTCCGCCTCCTACTGCACTCGGCCATCCGACCCCCATCTTCACAAAAGACTGAACTCTCCACGCTTCGCGTATCCCCATCAGCTAATGAGGTTCATTTTGTCCCTCGCACGTGCATTGCGGCGTTGGCCTATGTGCCTGCGTTGCCAATTGTCTCGCATTGCGCCCCAGTCGAGATTGACCCGCTCCCTGGAGCCGTTCTCGGAGCCGCAGATCAAAAAGTATCCCCATCAGCCCATTCAGAAATCTTGCCCATGACAGTTGATGGAGAAAAGGGGCGAACAGACACATGTAGTGAGACAAAATGGGCAGTCAGGGTGAACGGAGAAATTTCTGGGAGCAGGGGGGTGGAGAATGAGGAGGTGATGCTCATCAGTTTCGGCAGCAGGTGGCAGGATGGAGGAGGAGTTCTAAACGCTTGTGGACTGCCGCCTTTTCAGCGGCTACAAGAAGTATTTGGCACGGGGCCAGACGCTTCCGAGCTGGGGTGGCAGGGTCTCCCCGACGTGAGCGATGTGGAGCTTCAGTTGAAGATGCCCTCCACGCCATTGGGAGCTGCCCAGCCCTCGTCTCCTCGGGGCGGGATCGCGATGAAACCAGGGGCCCCCAGCACCTCCCCCCCCCAGGGCCCGGACATCGCTAAATAGTTATTCCATCGAGTGGTCTCGAGGACTGCAGCCGCAGGAACGCGCCATCGGCTTCCTCAGTTCCAGGGCCTGCGACCAGCAGGTCTGCGGGCTGCCTGCAGACAGGGCAGCGCGAGCTCCACGCGGCCAGGATGGATCGTAGACATCGACGCTTCCGGGGAGAGATTCTCGGCGGGCCCTCGCCTTCGTCGCGCTCGGACGGGGGCTCGTCGCGATGGGGGGGGCGGGGGGGGGCACTGGCCCCTTGGGGGGCCCTCTGCGGCCCGACCCCCGGGGGCCCGGACGATCCACTGCGGTCGGGGCCTAAGATGATGAGCGTGTTTTCCACCACCACCACCACCATAAGTTGGAGGGGGGGGTCCTCCTCCTCCTCCTCCTCCTCCTCCTCCTCCTTCTCCTTCTCCCCCTTCGCCCCATCCAACTTATGGTGGTGGTGGTGGAAAACGCGCTCATCATAAGAGACGGGGGTGAGTGCAAACGGGGGTCGGCCAGAGCGCCAGACCCTGCAGGATCCTCTGCGAAGGCCCCCTCTGGCTGACCCGGGTTCGCGAGCCGCTCGCGGCCGCGAGGCGGCCCCTCGTATCGGCTGACCCGGGTTTTTTCGAAGACCTGCGTTGCGGTTTGTTTTTCTTGCATGGCAGTTTTTGGTTTCCTGCTGACCCGGGTCTGGATTGACCCGGGTCAGAAGATCCCGGACGCGGTGAAATGACTACCTCCATATATGCCCTGGCCCTTGGAGGGCTCATCGTCGTCGTTACGGACAGCGACTACGTCACGAAAGGCGTCGGGGGGGGAGTGGAAGCATGCGTGTAGCGTTGAGCTGTGGTCCCTTTTTTGGCAGGCTCACGGGGACAGGACATCCCGCGCTGCCTTCGAGAAGGCGGCATATGCGACGCTCTCGGATAGTAGGTCAGCCACGGCGCGTCCCGACTTCTTCATTGCCGACCAGGTCGCCGACGCCGTTGCGCGCCAGGCAGCCCCGATTTCTCTGGATCCGAGGAGGAGGTGGTTCAGGTTGTTTTGCCCACGGATCAGGAGATGAAGTTGACCAGGGCCAGGCTCGCGTGCATCCGGGACCTCGCGTGGAAGTTCGGCCCCAACTTGGAGGTTCAGAAGGTCCCCGAGAGCGCCGAGACTCGCGGGCTCCGCGAGAGTGAGACAAGCCCCCGCAGCATTCTTAGGGACCCCGAATACACGAGATGCACAAGGTGCGCGGCCTTCTCCGACCAGCCGTCTCCAGGACTGGCGACGCAAGTGCGCCTCCCCAAGGAATGCACGTTTGCGGTCCACCCCGCCCGCCGCCCCAACAGTTGCATTACACAGGGGCGTTTATTTTTGTTCCAGGCGCGGGGGGGCGGGGGGCGCCCAAAGCGATTGAACTGTCTGCCCCTCGCGGCCAGCCCGCGAGCGCGGGGGTCAAAGCGTCTCGCCGACCGCTGCAGGGAATGAGGCCGAAGGGCTTACTCGGTTGGCCCGCGGGGCAGCTTGCCCGCTTGACAGAGCAGGTCGCGGCCCGCCGTTGCCTCCCACGAGAGAGGCTCGTCTCGTGAGGCTCCGCGGAGGTCCTTGGAGTGCAGGGGCTCGCCTTCGAGCGCAGGTCAATTGGTCAATCTCGGGAGGAGGAGGAGGACGACGACCACCACACGGACGAGGAGGAGAAACAGGAAAACGAAAACGACGAGGGCAAGGAGAGGGAGGAGGAGGAGGAGGAGGAGGAGGAGGAGGAGGAGGAGGAGAACTGCCCTCGCAGTCGTTCCATTGGAGCCCTCTTGGGATTTTTTAAGGGGGTCTTAGGGCCCTCTTTGGAGACCTTTGAGGGTTCTCTTGGGGGCCCTGGAGGGCCTCTTGTGGCCATATTGGAGGCTACCGACTAAAAGGGGGAGGGTTGCCCTCGAATTTTGGCCCCCCCCCCCCCCCCCCCCCCCCAAAAGCCATTTAGCTAGCCTCTTGTCGCCGCCGCGGTTCCCGCATTGTTATCTCACACATGGGCGCCCTGCCAATCGCCCAAGATTAATCCAGATGTCCCCAATTATGCCCCACGATCCCCAAGCAATTCCGCCGTTGGCATGGACACGGATCACCGACACCCCAAGCCACCGCACGAGGTTTCCATGGCGACCTGGGGTTGTGCAAATGCGTTCGGCCGAACGCGCGTTATTGCCACAGGCTCCGCCGATATCGCATCTCGTGTCGCTGCAGCAGACTCCACCCATGCTTCGTCGAGAACTCGAACGAGCGCGAAACGCGTGCAATGGTTCTAGTGTGTGTGTGTATGTATGTATGTATGCATGCCTGCATGCATGCATGCATGCATGCATGTATGTATGTATGTATGTATGTATGTATGTATGTATGTATGTATGTATGTATGTGTGTGTATGCATGTATGTATGTATGTATGTATGTATGTATGGATGGATGGATGGATGGATGGATGGATGTATGTATGTATGTATGTATGTATGTATGCATGCATGTATGTATGTATGTATGTATGTATGTGTGTGTATGTATGTATGTATGTACGTACGTAAATATGTATGTATGTATGT